CCAGAGGCCCTCGTCAGGTACACGGGAGGAGATGGGGAAGCCACACCATCTTTGTTTTGCTTTTCCAGCATGCAGCCCAGAACATTCTGCCAAACCTGATTCTCCAAACTCTTCTCTGTTGGATGGAGCCCGAGAACTCCATCCCTTTTCATTTTTTATTTTTTGTCCTTTCCCACAGACTTAAAAATTGACTTATGCTAAACCAGCCCGCACCACAAGTCAGGTGCACAGGCACCAGCCCTCAAGAGCTGTCACCACACCTGCAAGTCCAGTATGGAAAATTCTTTCCCCTGGGGTACCTTTGCTCCCAAGGGCTCCTCTTTGAAATGTAGAATGTCCAGGAGCAGGTAGAAGGAAGCATTTGTCAGGGGTAACAATCAAGAAAGCACTAAGCGCCGTGGGGGGAGAGGGGGGAGGAGAATGACACAGAAGATGGGGGGCTGGGGAGATGAGAGACCCTAAAGATGGAGCAGGACACCCAACCCTACCCAGGCTGACCTGTCCACAGCCCAGGAAGCAGAAGCCCTCTGTCTAGCATGGCCTGAGTCCCGAGACTCTGGAGTGGAGGATGCTGTGTGGGCCAGCTCCATCAGCCATCACCTCTAAGTGGGGACTCGGTATCCTCATCTGGAATATGCGGGCAATGACAGGACCCGCCCTAAGCACTGGAGGGTGAGGACTGAGTGCAGGAACAGGGGCAGGTGCCCAGCACAGCACCTGGCACACAGTCAGCCCTTACCTGCCGAGATCCCAGCCAAGTCCTGCCCCTCCACGGAAGCACCTCTGACCTCCACGCTGAGCTCTTGGCACATCGGTGCCATGCAATTTATTACCTAATTATATACCATCTTGAAACCATTAGGGAATCACTGAATACAGCATAATAAGATGGTAATTGTATCGCAGCTCTGAAATATGACCATCCCAAAGCCCACACTGCAAGGTACCTGCTAGACACACAGGCAGACCGCACCCCGAGGGAAGGGCTCTGGGGCCCTGGACTCTCAGCCGGCTCACTCTTCCGTGGAGCAGAGTCTCCTGTGTTATCGGTTTGAGGCTGGCTCTTTTCTCCCACGGCTGGTGCTACCCTCCCACTCGGGAAGACCCCTGCACCCCAGCCCGGAAGCCCAGCAACACGGGGAGCATGCTGTCCCAGGAACGGGCAGTTTGGATGGGCAGCAGCCTGGGCAGTTTTGCTCCAGACATCAGAGAGTGGGCTGCGCACTGCCTCTTGCCATCCCACCACAGCCCAGGAGGGCCGAGGCTGTACAGAAGCTGGGACAGGGGCTGATGAGACCGTCCAGCCAGGCCGCCTGTGGGCTGTGTCTGAAGCTGGAGGGTCTGGAGGGCCCTGGATATGCTTGCGCAGGTGGTCCAGGCCGGTTCTTGGGATCTGCGGAATGCCTGAGCAAACACGGAGACGTTTATGTGCACTTGCCGGAGAGCTGAGTGTATGTGAAATGACAGAAACAGCCCTCCGGGCAGACACTTCTTACAGAATGTACAGGTAAGGGGGCTATCCAGGAAGGCTTCAGGGAGGAGGTGGCGTGGGAGAGGGACACTGACAGGATGATAAGGACTTGATGTGGAGCAGGGTCCAGATGGCAGAAGCTGAGTGAAGCCCTTTGCGCTGTGGCTACAGGCCTGGCTCAGAGTCAGCACCTGGGGGGACTCCTGGCCCAGCTGCCCTCAGCCCCTCTGACTCGGTCCTACCCCCGAGACATGCTCAGGCAGTGCATGCAACACTCCCACCCTGCAGGACCATGACCACGACGGGCGTTGCTGCCTGCCCCTGCCCTCTGGGCCGTCCCTGGGGGGCCCGGGCAGAGGGCTCAAGGCACTGAGCCGTGGAGGACACGGGCGCTCCCCACCCGCTCATCTACCGTTCCAGAACTGCTATGGTGCTCTGTGCACGGTGTCTGGGAGGGCTTCTCAGTCAGTCACTGCAGGAGTGTATATTCTGCCTTCACTGCCTTCTCTCTCCTGCTGAGCCAGCCCCCTCCCCCTCCCCCTCCTACAGGCTGCCCAGACTGCTCCAATGGCCCTACCCTCTGCTCTTCTCAAGAGAACGTTCTCCCATCCTTCCAAACTGTGAAGGAGTTTATGATTCAAAGTGCTTCCCCTCTGGGGATTAATTTTCAAAGACAGTGCCAGAGACAGATTTATTCAAAGGAATACATCTCTAAGGGAGAATTCGGGAACCCCGAAATGTAAGTTTGCTTTTTTTTTTTTTTTTTAACCAACAGCCTTTACTGTGAGCCTGCTTAATTCATTATTTTATTCCATTAACATGTATTAAGCTCCTACATGCTGGGTGCTGCCTGGGTGCTGGGGCTTACATCACTGCCTAGTGCGGGAGACAGAAACACAAACACAACCCCAACATGATGAGAAGTGTCTTCAAAGACCTTCCTGCTTACGTTCAAGGCACCCACTTAAATAGCAGCATTTGCTGATTCAAACTGAGTCCTATCTGCTCTCTAAAACAGCTCCCCGGAGGACTCTCATTGGACACTTTTAGACCCGCACTTGAAATTAATAAAGCTGTATGTCGATGTATATTTTATAACTCACACACTTTCCAACTCGGCCTGGACTTCCCCTAGCTCACGTCCAATGAGAAGACCTGACCGCAGCCATTCTGAGCACTCTCTGGCCTGGATTTTCTTTGTGGTCTTATTTGGACTTTTCCAGACCGATTGCTTGGACCTGCTCCTTCTCCCAAGACTCCTGTTTGAATATACAATTTATGAGTCATTTGCTTTTTCTGCCTCTCTTTATCCTCTGGTTATATATGGTACCTGACTTCCCCTCCAACTGTCTTAATAATAAATAACACACTTTACCACACCGCGACACACCACACAACTATAGAGAGCAAAATATGGCATGCACTGAATTATTCAGGAGGTGAAAAACACCACAAAGCACATCACATATTCCAGGCGTGGAGACTTGTTCACCGGGATGATGTACTTTCACCCTGAAGAGCACTCTCCACAGCGGCATTAGGCCCCCTCTCCCCCCAGCCCTGCAAATCTGCTGCCAGGAGCTGTCCTACCCATTATGAAGTGGGCAGAAGCCACTCCTACGCCGAGGTAAAAAAAAAAAAAAAAAATCTCCAACATACGGTTCAGTTCTAATTACATTAACCATTATTTCCCACATGTGGGAACGATGCATATTATGGTTTCTCACATATGTAATAGTACTTTGGGGGGTCAACCAGAAATTGCGATCTGACGTTGGAATTGTCCCAGAAGACGTTGGGCTGTGTGCTCATCACATTTGTTCCATGACTAAGGGGGCTCTGGGTCAAATGGCAGCTCTCCAGAAGGAAACCAGCTCGGCTGGGGAGCACAGTGACGAAAGGGTGCCTTAGTTCTGAAACCAAATGGTTAGAGACCAGCGGTGGCTCTGACTCTGGGGGGTCCCGGGTGACAGGGAAGGGGGGGCTGTCCAGGGTCACTGTGGCGGGGGAGAAAATAAAAGGGAGGGGAGGTGAAGGAGGGAGTAGTGAAGAAAAGAGGTGGGAGGGAAGCAGGAACTAGGGAGCAAGAAAGGGTAGCAGGAAGAAGGAGGGGAGAAGAGGTTGGGCAGAGGGGCAGAGAAATCAGCAACAAAATACAGAGAGAGGAGGAGAGGGAAAGCCTGCTGGCAACAGGAGAAGGTGCAAGGAGCGCTCTTGCTGGGGTCTTCCCCCAGAGATGGCTCCCAGGGGCCTGTCCCATCTTGCTCAGTTGATTAGCATCTTCTAGCCAAACCTCTCAGCGAGTTCTTCAAAGAGTCCTACCCAGGAAGGCAGACACCTGCGGACTTACCTAGACCACCCTCATCTGGGTGGGTGAGTCACACAGCAGAAAGGCCAACACCGGAGGTGTGATACTTGGAAGGGACAATTCTGGGCGCCCCGCTCTCACTGCGTGACCCATCCCAGGGCCCAGCGGCTGGCCAGGGCTCCACCACACATATGTGGAAAGAACTGGCCAGAGTAAGACCCGGGTTTCTGAGGCTGGCCCACACCCTAAGGCCTGTCTGTGAACACTGCCCCGCTGAGATCCTTCTGACGTTGGAACCACGTCTGTACTTCTTCAAAGCATTGAACAGAATCATACATATCCGGGTGGGGGCCGTGGTCCTTAAAAAACACATTACTTCCCCTTTGTGGGGTCAATTTAATGTTTTGGTGTCAAAATTAACAACAGCAAAAACTCAGGCCTCTTTCCCAGGGAAACAGACCTGACAGCGCATACTGAGAAATGCAAAAATTAAGGGACCAAACAACTTAATTGGCCCCTGGAAACCCTTAGCTGGCAAGTTCCAGCCACACCCAGAAAAAGCATTCTGCCTTGTCTGAAAGATGCCCCACCGTGCCCTCCCCGCCATGAGTGGCCCCCTCTGGAGCATCCTGCATCTCATGTGTTCAACAAACGCCGAGCTTGTGAGTATAGAGTGCCCCTCGTTACTCACTTCACTCCCAACACAAGAGCAGAGCAGGAAGGAAGAACCATGCGATGGTAAAGGTGTCAAATCTCCATCCTCATGGGAATCGTTCTTTCCCAGCCGAGGTCAGCCCTGCCTGGGGGCGGAATAGGAACTTCCCGTACCATGGGACATCCGAGGAGCAGAGCCCAGGCCCAGGCCCCACGCCCACCCCGATGCCACCCACACACACCTGTGGGCTGGCATCCGAAACCCTTGCAGCAGGGACGGAGTGAAAGCCCCCACTCCCAAGGAAAGCTTGAGATCCAGACTCCACACCCCTTCCAGCCCCCCCCTCCCTGAGAGGGGCCAGTGAGTCCCTGCTCTGCTGGGGTTGGGTCCCAGCCCTCACCCCTCATGTCAAAGGCGGGGTGCCGAAACGCAGTGAGCTTTGAGCCACCGTGCTGAGCCTGCTTCTCCCCTGAGGGTAGCTCTGGGGGTGGACCACGGGGCAGGGCTCTGAGGCCACCTCAGGATGGGCTTCCCCCCTCCCTGGTCATTCGCCGGGGGGTCTGTACCTGGAGCTGGAGGTACTGCTGCTCTGCACGGCCGGGTCGTCCGTGACATTAAAGAGCCCCGTCCAATTGGCCAGCTGGTCGCCACTCTGCCAGCCAAACTGGAGGCCTCTGGCAAGAAAACGAGGCAGTCGGTACTCAGCGCTCACACGCGGGCTGAAACCCATCTAACCACAGAGCCTCCTTCTGCTGCTGTGGTCACTCGCTTACTGGAGATGAAGGGGATGCCCACCCATGAGGATGACGATAATAAACCACAGCCTTGCATCGTGTTCTCTGCTCACTTACATCCGTCCCCTCTTTCCGCCTCTACCAGCAGAGCTGAGGTTACACGCTATAAACACAGGGAAACTGAGGCTTAGCGAGGTCAAGGTCATAGAGCTCAACTACCTCCTATGTGGTGAGTCCCTCAACCCCCACCGCTGGAGACTTAGACCGGAAGAGCTCTCAGTCGCCAGCACTTTGGCGTCCTCGGAGGCCACACTGCAAAGCTTTTAATGCAATCCGGCTCTCCCATGCATAAGAATACACCTCCTGGTTTGAGACTCCACACCTATGGTCATCTCTGCTCCCTCCCCACCCCTGACTGAAATGATAGCAAAGGAATAAATAAGGATGCGAGCATGGAGAGGAGGCGATAGAGGGGGGCCAGTGACAACACCATGGAAGATGAAAAGCAGATGGGTAATTAATTCCCCTAGACCCGAAAGAGTGGAGCCCCAAATGTTTATGGGGAGTCAATCTATTCCCTGTGCACAACTCAAGGAGGCTCTGAAATTGGGGGTCCGGGGCCACTGAGGGCAGGAGCGCAGAGTGGGGCTGAAAGTGGGAGGACTCTTTCAGGTTTGTATGAAGAGCGGCGGGACCCCCCCCCCAACACCGGCTCCCCTCCTTAAGCCCATGTAGTGTGGGCACGGAACCGGCCTGCCCCACAGACGGCAGGAGGCTGAGCTCCAGGGAGCTGACCCACAGAAGTTCTGCAATTCCTCATACACGGAGACACCAATCTGCAACCCACCCACCCCACACCCTGCCTCACAGGTGGCGAGGGTGGATTTTGGGAGGGAACCAGACCAGGTCAAAAAGAAAAAAACAAAACAAAACACAAACAGGACTATGGAGGAACAGGACTGTGTCATCTGATCACCCTAGCGCAGGGGTTCTCCACCTGGCGCTACGGACAGTTGGGGCTGGGTCATTCTGTGTGTGGGGCTGTCCTGTGCATTGCTGGGTGCTGAGCTGTGCCCCCCAGTCTCTACTCTCTAGATGCCAGGAGCACCTCAACCCACACCCTCCATTGGGATGATCGAAAATGTCTCCAGAGGTTGCCAAGCATCTCCTGGGGGGCCAAATCCCCCCAGCTGAGAACCACTGTCCTAAGACAATGCCCACCTCCCAGAGCTCCAATGAACCTTCTGGAGACTGGCTTGCCCTGAAATATGAACAGGCAATGAAAGGCCACCAACCAGCATGCAAGAAAAGCTTTAACTTCAAAGTCAGAGAACAAAACAAACAGCAAAAAAAAAGGGGAAAACTCAGGGGAAAAGAGACAAATGAAAGGAGAAACAAATTTTTAATAAAACCCTTGATAATAAATAGCCTCTAAGCTGAGGGGAAGGGACAGTGATGGTTGTCAGAGCCGCTGTCTGGTCATCCTGGATCCGCCACCAATGAGCCGAGTGACCTTAGGCAAATCTTCGTAACTCTCTGTTCCCATCTTTCAAGCAAGGAGAGCTGTCTGGGATGTCTCCAGAGCCCCTGACCGGGAGCTGAGCTGTCTCCCCGATGCCCACCCAGCTCCCTCCGTGGGAGTCTAGGTTGCCCCAGTGTTTAAGCGCCGACCGTGCATTCCAAGTGGAAACACCGCACAGACCAAATATGCCATGTTGCATGCCAGATGCAGTCTGGGGACCCCCACCATCACCCCCAGAGGCCCCTGTCCATGGAACAAGACACTGTGCATCCTCTGTCACAGCTCAGGACACTGAGGTGCAGGGTCAGAAGTGACTTTTCAGCCAGCTGGTGACAAAGCTCAACCTGGAGCTCAGAGGAGTCCTGACTCCCACTTCAGTCCTCGTGCCACCGACGTCCTGGATCCCGTCGCAGGAGTCTGCTGCACACAGCGCACCTGAGGGTCTTCTGTCCTGGGGGCTGGCTCAGCCACTCTCAGCCTCTGGCCTCATGCACAATAGCCAAGCTCAGCAAGGGGCGCCCACCGAAGAAGCCCAGGGGAGTGCATTCCCAGAGCCCATGACTACCCCTTTCCCTCCCCCTCACCCACTGGCAAAGCAAACAATGGGAATGGAAATGCCCATCAGATCTGCTATTCTTGTGAGGCTAACCTTGAGTTGACTCCATGTGGAAAAAAATAATAAAAGAAGAAAGTCATTCAGAAAACGTCAGTACTTAACTTTCGTGGGAGGATAATTTATTGAATTATTTATTCCAAGAAGGGAGCTGGGCTTTTTATCCTCTTACTTTAGGGCCCTGTGTGTTGTGGGGGCTGAAAGCTTCCCAGCTCCCTGAAGAAACTGTGCTAGGCAGCCCAGAGGGGAGCAAACCGCCTTCGGGTCTAGGAGGGGTGGCTGGCAGAAGATGCCTCAAGTCCAGGAAGCTAGCTTCCTGCTTTGGGGTTCCCCCACCACATCCCCCTCTAAACAGACAGGGGAACCTCAAAAAGACCACAGCTTGAGGCACCCCAGGAGGCTGGACCCAGGGCTCCAGGAGCCTCCCGAGAGCAGTGAGCAGACTGACCAAGGCCGGGGTGGCCCTGGGCGCCCCCCAACTGATTTGTTCCACACAAACCTGGGGCAGTGGGGGGAGGAGAGTGGATGGAAGGCCCCTCAAGGATGAGAGACTCAGTTTCCCACCAGCTGGTGGATAAAGCTCAGTTAAAAGAAGAAAAGGAAATGAACTCTTCCTTTCACACCAAGTTCGTGAAATAAAAGGCATCACCACTTTTCCATCATTCATCAGCAAGTCGCTTGTGTCGTACCTCACAGCTGACTGAGGATATTTTCCCTTTATCCTCAAGCTATTTTTATTTTATTATATAGGTAGATGTATTTCAAATATTTATTATATTATTCTATATTTATCGAACAGCCCTGCCAGGCTGGATGCTGGGGTTCAACAATGAACCAACCAAAAAAAACTCTGCCCCAAGGACACTTAACCGCTACCAGGGGGAGACAGATACAGTGACAATAAGCTAACAGGTGACACAATGTGTAATGTGCCAGATGCCGACAAGCGCTGTGGGAAAAAGAAAGGGCAGTGAGGGGGATGAAGGGTTTGGGGTGGTGAGGGGTGCTGGTCCACACTGGGTGGCCAGGGGGCCTCTCTGAGAGGGTGACATGGAACAGGACAGGAAGTGGGTGATGAGGCAGCAGGTGGCTCCCGAGGAAGAATGTTCCAGCACCAGCACCTGTGGTGGCCCTGAGGGGTGTGACGGCTTCTTCCGGGGCTGGCAAGAGGGTCTTTGTAGTTGGGACTGAGCCACGGCAGGTGGCAGGTGACTGGGCATGGGCTCAGAGAAGCAGCGTCACCTTGCTGTGCTCCCTCAAAGCCATCTAAGAGGGAGGTGGGACGTCACCTCCTGAGGAGCCAAGAACTCCACTGGGCCACCAGGGAGTCTGCGAGCACCAGGCCCTCCCCTACCTCCCACCGCTCTGGGTCTCCAGGAGGATCTGGTCAGAAAAGGCCTCTCCGAGAAGGTGCCAGGACCTTCCCACCCAGATGCAAGTGGAAGTGTCTGCCAGCTGGGAAGCCTTTTCGGTGGGATTAATGGGCATAATTACCAGGCTCCACAAGTTCCCTTGCCCGTCCCCACTCCTGACTCACTAGTGACTCGCGGTATTTCTCTGTGAAGGGCCGGATGGTAACCTTCCCCCCAGAAGAACCTCAGAGGGAAGGGAAGTGGATTCATCCCTGTGGGGACTTTCATGTGGGGCCACAGAAAAGCTGCTGTAGGTGGGGCTTCCTGAGGGAGGAGAGGAGTGGGGGGGGCTGTCCTGCCCAGAAGCACTGCCCAGAGGTGGCAGAGGGTTGGCCTCCTTGAGAGCCCCCAGGCCTGGAACCCATAGCCCCAGGGAGCAGATAGAGGCTCCTGGATTCTAAGACCTTCCATGGCTCTGCAGAGGCTTCTGGCTAAGGAACGGCTGGGCCAGGGCCCAGGCTCTAGGAGTCTCTCTGTCCCGGAACCCCAGCCCACTTGGCACTTAGTATGTAGGAGAGTTTGTCAACTTTTCACGAGTGCTTGGTCATTCTCTCCTAAGAGCTCCTTGAGAGGAAGCCTGTTTCATACATCTCGGCAACCAGAGACTAGGGCAGTATTATCCAACAGAAATACACCAGGAGCCACAGATGTCATCTAGAATGTTCTGGTAGCCACATTATAAAAAAAATAAAAATAAAAAATATCAAACACATGATGAAATTCCATAGAACTAGCTACACACAGACACACAAATGAGTGTACGTAAAACTAGGGAAATTTGAGTAAGGTGGATGGATTGTATGGATGTGAATTTCCTGGTTGTAATACTGTACTATAATTTTGAAAGATGTTGCCGTCTGGGAAAACAGGAGGAAGGTATGCAGATTCTCTCTGTATTATTTCTTATAGCAGTATGTGAATCTACAATTCTCAAAAAGGTTTCTGAGAAGTAAAAAAAAAAAAGGTGAAATTAATTTTAATAATATATTTTATTTAACTTAACACATCCGAAATATTGTCATTTCAACATATAATCAATGAGGGTTATCCGTGGTGTGATTATTGCTGGTTGAAAAATTAATGGGATAGGTTACATCTTTTTTCATAGTATGTCTTTGAAATCTAGTGTGTATTTTATACTCACAGCACATCTTAGTTTAGACTACTCATGTTCCCGGTGTTCCACAGCCACACAGGGCGAGTGGTTATTATACTGGACACCAAAGTCTGGTACATAAAGGGCCTGTGAGTCATGCTTGCTGATGAACAAATGAATGAATGAATGAATGAATGAACCTTAACCAAGAGGCTGGGACTGGATGTGCAGAATGGCACCTCCACCAGCTGGAGGGCACTGGGTGGGAGGCCACAGGGGCGGGAACATCAGCTCTGT